ACACATATACATATATACACACACATACACATACACATACATACACACACACATACTTGTATTTGTGGTTTACGGGGACTCTCCATAGGTGTAATGGTTTTTATACTGTACAAACTGTATTTTCTATTGCCCTACACCAACCCTACCCCTCACAGGAAACTGCTGGCAATTTTTGAATTTCATAAAACACCGTTTTGTATGTTTTTTAAGCCTTTTGTTTTACGGGGACACAGGAAGTGTCCTCATAAACCATGTTTACGTTGTAGTACCCATGTCATTATACACATTTGTGTCCTCATAAACCATATATACCTGTACACACACTCACACACTTTCTCCTTCACTCACTTTACACTTACTCAATGTCAGAGAGTTGACAGGTGATCAATAACACCTGTTCATTGAGAACTGGAAGTAAATGCCATCGTGTAAATTTATCCTTCCTATCTTGTCTCAGGGTTGAATGGTGGTTAGAGAAGACTGGAAATGAGGATTTGGCATCAGCAGCCAGATTACCTGGGTAGATTACTTACAAATTGTAGTCCATTAGATTACAAATTACATGACAAAGATTGTAGTTAGTAGCATAATCAATTGGATTACACATATTAAGTAAAATATTATGACTACTTTTTGATTACTTTTAGATTACTTTTGGCCTGATACATAAAACATGTATTCAATTTTATCAATATCATGAAGTGCATTAAACATTACTAAACATTTACGGTCCCACTTTATATTAAGTGGCCTTAACTACTATGTACTTACATTTAAATTAATCATTTGGTACAATGCACTTATTGTGTACATACATGTTTTTACATTGTACTTCTATTTTAAAAATACCTGCATGTAATTACATCTGTAATTAATTTCTGTAATTACATTTATAATTACACTGTTGGCCCATCCCTTACACTTTAACCCACCCTTAAACCTAGCCATACCACCAAACCTGTCCCTAACCTTACCCGTTTCCCACCTCAATAGCAGCAAAAGTGTTTTGCAATACAATATGAACACAATAAGTATATTGTACTTATTTTTTGATGTAAGTACATAGTAGTTAAAAACACCCAACACCCAAATTCTAGTTTCCCTCTAGTGCTTATGACATTGTGCGAGCATTCATGTGCACCTGTTTCAAAATTATGATCATTCTGACATGAGTTGAAGGCAGCAAGACAATCTTGGTTACAAAACACATGCGAACGAGATAAAAAAATCACTTTCAGGACTTTTTTTCCAGCTGTTGACCAATAAACACATTGGCCAATCAGAATGCACCCGACTCTGAAGCGCTTAAGCATTTAAAGCTGTTATTTCATTATTGTGCATATTATTTCATTATTGTGCATTTCCACCTCTGTCCCATCAAACCTGATGCACCAGTTTACTTCTAAGCTTGCACCACGCTGGCTAGGGCTAAAACGGAGTGCCTTGAGTCAATTATGGGATGCTAAACCTTTGATGAATTTGAGAAGAAAAGTGTTGCTTTAGACACCCCGGGTCTTTGAGGTAGCGTCTCGCCGCTCCTCTCTTTGCCATTTCATCTGACGGTGTGAGATGAGGCCAATTTCCTGCTGAAACTGCAAATCACTTTCTCAGCTCTGCTGGGGGGAGGTAAGGGGTGAATTCTCTCAGATAAAGTGAGAGTGAGCAAAGAAATGTGAAATGTCAAGGTACGATTTTCCATTCTATCCCTCTATCATCTCCTCCAGTGAGTTGGAGTGCTTTTGATAAATTGACAATGTAACCCAACTCTCATCTACTTTAGTCTTTTATTGTACAATGTTACAAATTCAACAAATCACATTTACACTGAAAGCATTACACACTGCCATCTGTCTACACAGTATGATATGTGTTTTTGATTAAATAAAGCTGGTTAAGGTCCCCGTGCTCCCTGCTGCTGTTAAATCAATATCACACTAACTACTTGCCAGAAATTAATTTTAATAATACAATTATTATTGTAAATAAGTCCAATTACTCATAATATTACATATTTTGTCTCATGAAAATGTAAAATAATTATACCACATTTCTGACTAAATCTGACTGGTTACAGTTAGTGTTAATACAGCAAATTTGCAATTTTGAAATGACTGTAATGATTTGAAATGGTTGAAATACTCATTTCCTGCTGCGGTACCAGATGCGCTTTCACACTTTCTTATATAAGACAGAGAATGCAGTGTGCGTGTGTGTGTGTGTGTGTGTGTGTGTGTTTTATATAGTCTGTTCTGCTGTATGTTTCACAGAGTTATCTGTAACCTGTTTAGTGTGATTCAGTGGGGACACTGAAAAATGGCCCCTTAAGTTCAAATGAATAGTGCTGTTTCGTTCAGTTTTTTGTTCGCCACTTGATGTTTCTCACTCAAAAAGTAATGGCAGCGCATAATCATAGAGAGTAGCACAACTTTGCATTGGCACTAGTGTGATCTTTTTAACAACATTTTGTCCTACCGGCAGAAAAATAGTGGACCAACCATTCAGTCATAGTCTGGAGCCCTAAAAAGGAGGCAGAACGATTGTGTGCTGTGTTTTTGAACAAATCAGTTGAGTAAATGATTCAAGGACTAATTAAACACAGTCCCTTGTTTCATTCCTGAATGAACCAGCATTTTTGAACGAATTGATTGAGTGAATGATTCACTAACTCATTTATAAAAACAGGCACCTAATTTGTTTCTGAATGAATCATCAATTTTGAGCTAACTGATTAAGTGAATAATTCAATGACTCACTCATAAAGTCACTTTTGTTTTTAAATCGACTGAATGAATGATTAAATTTCTGAAATATGCTAATACAGACACAAACAGTGAAAGTCTCAGTGCAGTGAGGCTGTTGTATCTGCACTCTTGGAATGCTGTTTGACCAATCAGTTTCAAGGACTGCAACTAACTGTAGTAACACAAGCTATACAACACTGCTTGACTTGGTCTAGATGGGGCAGTTCTTACTTAGTGCAACATCAATAGCTTTTTCAAAAAGCTCTGAAAATTAACGTGCAGCAGTTTTATTGAACAATGTTGAAGTGTAGTTGACCAGAAAGTGCAGCAAGAACATATCAGTATATGATGGAAGTTTCTAAAGCCATTATCTTCGAGACATCGTCAAACCTCACAATGCTGCTTCATGTTGAGGGTAATATTTGGCAATGTTCCAGAGTTTGTCATTTGATGTTATCACTGAGGATTTTGCATGTTGTTTCTGTCTAGGTGACAACCAGCAGCTCCGGCAGACACACAGTTATACAGTCTGACACATACTGTCACACTGTGGGAGTCACACCGTTGGTGTGTTCGCAGATGTGACTTCAACAACTAATAATAAACTTCACAGCACCTCATACTGAGAGATGAATCTTATGAGTTCATAATAATGTCAACTCCTTGGTATAAAGCGAAATCTTTCTTATTGCTCAGAACACTCACCTGTCCATCAAGGTCAAAGGCGAGACAGGAGATACCGTGTGTGTGCATGTCTTTCAATATGGACACTGTCTGCACAGTATATGAGTCCCACACACAGATATACGGCTCCTTTCCAACCTGTCCTGTGGCCACCAGCACTCGCTCTGGATGCAGGGCTAAACTGTAGACAGAGAATTACAATGAAGTTAAGATATTAAAAGGCCAATTAATCAAAATATTTTACCATTTCAAGTTTATCGCAACAGCTGAAAACCATGCCTGTGAAAACATAATCTGTGCAAATATGTCAGCACAAACACTTTTTCAACTATATCAGATGATAAATATTTGAACCACAAATATTAATGCCTGAAACATATTTTATGCAAATATGTGGACTAATGGTCAACCAATAAGGGTTTTTTAATGGTCGATGATGATATCATAGGGTCTGTTCAGACTTCGTCACTTGATGCGTTTTTACTGATCAGATAGCTATCCTATTTGTGACCCTGGACCACAAAACCAGTCTTAAGTCGCTGGGGTATATTTGTAGCAATAGCCAAACATGCATTGTATGGGTCAAAATGACTGATTTTTCTTTTATACCAAAAATCATTAGGACATTAAAGGGGTCATATGATGCGATTTCAATTTTTCCTTTCTCTTTGAAGTGTTACAAGCTCTTGGTGCATAAAGAAGATCTGTAAAGTTGCAAAGACTAAAGTCTCAAATCCAAAGAGATATTCTTTATAAAAGTTAAGAGTCAGCCACGCCTACCTAAAATGGCTCATTCTAACACGCCCCCACATGTCTACGTCACGATGTGGGAAGATTTGCATAACGCTGCCCAAATGTTCACGCAAAGAAAGAAGGCGTAACTTTTATTCTCGCTGTAGTATTGTTGCTGCCGCCATGTCGTGAAGGCACTGTGTGTTTTGTTGTGAAAGCGAAACTACTTTGTTTGGCCTTCCAAAAGAGGACGATATCCGCTTCGTCATGCCTAGAGCTGATCCGTGCTGGTCGCTGAGGAAATACTTCAACTTCGCGCTGTGGATCGCCGGATCAGCTTTCACCGTGGACGAAGCGGAGTCCAGCCCAGGGTCGTCACATGTGGTTGTCGTAAGCCCACTGGCCGCTCCTTCGTCGATTCCGCAGGCCGTTCCTCACTCTAGCCGCAGGCCTCCGCTCACTCAAGGCCGTGGTGTGTGATGCTGTGTTTCATTGTGAAAGCGAAACTACTTTGTTTGGTCTTCCAAAAGAGGACACGACTAGAAATCAGTGGTTAAGTTGTATTTACAACACTGTTCCAGAACAGTTCAACCCAAATATTCAGATGTGTCCAGCGCATTTTATGGAGGACTGTTTCCTGATCCTGGAAGAGTAGACTACAATGCCGGCTGTCAGACTGTAAGTAGGGCTTGTTGTTTGTCATTTCTCCAATCACAAATGCAGACATGGTTTCCTAATCATCAATTAATTCACTACAAAATGGTTCATAGGATGTATCTCACTCCTAGGAAACGATATTTAATGAAGCTTTCTTCATCTTCCAATTGTAATTTCTGCTCAGGAAACTCTATAGGAACCTATAGACATATGTTTTGGGATTGCCCTGAAGTTAATCATTTCTGGAAACAGGCATCTAAGACTCTGAAGGACATACTGGAAGTTGATATATCATGCTGCCCTAAGCTTTTGCTTTTAAATGATGACTCATCTTTCGGTTTCTCTCGGTCTCAGAAAAAATTGTTATTCTCTGGATTAACTGCAGCAAAGTTCCTTGATTATTACGCCAGAATGAGAGCATAGTTCCTAACCATATCGGCCTAGAAAATCGCAACTTTTCATTTTCCGTCGGTCTTAGTACACGATGTAACTACAGAAGAGTCAAGTTTTAAATGGGAAAAATATAGAAACTCTTTGGTCTTTTTTGAGCGAGATGCTAACGGTCTAATCAGATTCAATGATCTATGCTAAGCTACAGCTAAAAGTGCTACCACCAGACCCTGAGATTGGCTGAATGGATTCGAAAACAGTAAAACTCAACTGTTTAACTCTAGGGGAGTTGGAAAATGAGCCTATTTTCAAAAATAGTGGAGTGTTCCTTTAAAGGGGGTGTCTAATGCTAATCCATGCATTCTGACTTAGGCTATTTACACTGTTTAAAAGAGTTGGATTCTCATGGCTAAACATGGCCAAAGTTTCAAAAAACGAGTTGGACATATAACGAGTATTTCTGTGCCAAATACACTCCTTCAGTTTCGGAAAGTTTTTTTCGACTATGACCCTGTATGACGTCATAAAGGGCAGAATTCCTTGTATGGGCATTTCTCCCGGAAAAGTGCGCGCACACATCAACCACAGCGAGAGCAAGAGCACGGCTATCAATGTGCTTCACTCGGGTTACGGAAGTCGTCGGCAGCGCTGCACAGGACTTGCTCGAGAAGGATTTGTCCTTTTGTTTGTTTGTAGAGAAGCATAAAGCTGTATCTGTCTTTTAGAAATCTGATAAAACTAAAGACTCTTTGGAGATATGAAGGATGCAATACTACTGTGACGAGTGTGGCGGTGCCGATAGCCGTGGAAACGGAGCAAGGCCGGTGGAGTAAATGATAATGAGCGACACCTGCGCCACTCACCGTTCTCGAGTCCCACGGAGGAGCTCTGGAAGGATAAAAGGAGGAGTAACGACAGTGAAGGACGAGAGAGGACCAGGCCTGGACTTTATGTTGTTTTTGTTTTATTATGTTTTATGCGGCAGTCCAGGGGCGCCGGACAGGGGGTAATAGTGGAACAGAGTAACAGTGGCCCATGGCAAGGGGGGGAGGGGGGCGATCGCGATCCCTAGACCCGACGCCCCACCCCCACCCCCAATGAACGATATAATGGAATCATGAACATACACCCCCTGTTTCTATTAAATTGTTATCATGTTAAATACAAATTCAGTCATATTAAAAGTATTTTATGACATGACATCCATATGCTACTTGACTAAAAAGATATAATGTGTAGTTAATAGATCACACTAACATTAGGCTGTTTTTAGCCTCACCCTGGAGTTGATGCACTCTCCGGTTATGAAACTAAGTAAATAATTAAATAAATTAGCATGATAATATTGTGTATCAGCGATCTCACAGGCTGACGATAGGATGATATGACTATGGAGCATATCGCCCAACACTACTATAGGTACTCAAGATTAACATGAGATTGGCAGAAACTGTGTGTGTTATGATCCATTTAATAATAACACATCTGGTATTATAGCACAAGCATTTGAAGGTAATGCTGTCGACCTTGAGTACTGAGGTATGTTACCCTAAAGTAACAGAAGAACACGTTAAGTATTTACAATGGGAAAGCACACTTGCAATGCACTGGCCAAAATTTGCTAACTGGCTATTCTGCCATTACACCTTCCAGAAATACATTACTAAATATTTGGTGATTGTCCTGTTTGAAATCCAGCCTTGATTTATACAGATAACTGATAAAAAAGCTTTTAAGAAGGGGGTGTACGATTGTGGACAGCTATAGTAAGACGAGCTATCGCTGATTATCATTTCCCACAATCAGAAGTGAAAGTGAGAAAAGGGCTTTTAGTTATCAGAGCCCCATGAAGAGATAATCTGGAAAGCACGCTATCTTCTGCAACCTAAGACTCATGAAACTGGCTCAGATAAAGTCTGTCAACACAGCATATCTGTGTGTTTTAGATTTAAATGTAGTCAACATTCATTCCGTTCCTTCTATATTTTGAAATAAGCTTATATTTTTTATTCCACAGCATGTAGCATTATCCATAATAATGCCCCGGTGTAAAAATAGCACAGACGTGAGGTGGAAAAATCAGGTCATCGCGGTTCATGGAGCAGTTCACTCTCACCATCACACTAGACCACCAAATTCATTCAGGCTTGCCTTCACATGCCCTAGGAAATCCCAGAAGCATCCAAATGTTGCGTAGTAAATCTGTCCAGCTTTACTACGCTCTCTCCTTCACGCACACATACACTATTTTCCATATTTATCAGCAGTGTAAAGGCAATCGCACACTGGATGAGAAGCACAGTGCTGAAGCGCGGCTGGGATAACTCACAGGTACCGTACACCGGTGGACATGTCAAGCTCAGTTCATCACAGCAGTCCAAAACTGTTAATCTAATCACCAAACATGCAAGAGTTCACTTCTAGAATGAATAAAGTGCTGTTTGGTGAGTTCAAAATTTTTTTTTTTTACTTTTTAAAACAACAACTGAGTAAACGGATTCGACTGCACTGTTTTTCCATTGTTTTTTTTGTTTTTTGTTTTTTTACATGCACTTTGACCATTGTATTTGACATGTATTTGACCATTGCGCTCATGTCTCTAAAGGCCAATTCACACCGCACAGACAAACGCCAACAAACACCAACAAACAAGTTGGCTGTTGGATTTAGAATTTTATGAAAAATAACTGTCATGTTCACACTGCCCCAACAAACACTAACAAACTTCGAGTCACAGAGAGTCAAGTAACACCGTGTCTACACCAGTGTAGACAGCGTCACTGATTATAATCAATAGAACTATAGATCAATAGTAAATGGTGTAACATCGGGGAAGTCTGACTGGGGAAGAAATGTATGATCCTGTAGCCACAATCAAAATTTTACTGTTATTAATGTCTTTGCGTGTCATTCTTCGCCTGAAAGACGGCGAACAGACTAGTCTGTTGGCGTTTGTTGGCGTTTGTCGGTGCGGTGTGAATTGGCCTTAAAATGCTGCATTCAAGTTAAAAGAAAAGCAAATGACACAGCATTCTAAGAACATAGCAATATGTTAAACTTTTAAAAAGTGCATCACTAGACCTTGAGTTTTTATTTATTTATTTTTTTCATTCCACTAAACTGCATTGCCTTTTTGTGTCTCTGTGTGTGTGTGTGTGTGTGTGTGTGTGTGTTAATAGCCTCCAACTGTACACTGACTATCCATAAACCATTTGACCGTTGGAAGAGAACACATTGCATCATAACAAAAGTGCTTGTTCCCTGTCAGTTTTGGTTTGGTTTGGTTTAGTAGATGTTTCCATGGGCCACAAAGGGAAGGAGGGCATTACATAAATATTAATTTTGTAAATGTCCTTTTTATTGTAAATTTGCATAATCCTGCCAGTAAAATGTATTTTAATA